AAAATCCAAAAGTTAATTACATAGTGTCTTTGTTGATTCATATTTCCAGGCTCTTGTGATTGCCTAAAATGTTAGAATGGCGATCTGAAGAATTAAAATCTCTTTTAAAGGAAGACCATACAGATAAGTAATCATTGTAACATTTTTTATAGGACCAATAGGTGCAGGATATTGTCCATATCCTTCACAGGTCATCACCCTCATTTTATAGATTGGATAGCTAAAGCACAGATAGGAATAAAGTTGCCCACGATCACCCAGGAAGTCAATTAAAAAGCCAAAGGTAAAATCCTTGTACCTGCTGTACGCCTAAAAATAATACATTCTGATGTAACTAATAACTCAATTAATTACAATAATGACAGAATCATTTACATTCTTGTTTAAGTAATAGGAAATATACCAATAAGGGTCTCTAGAAATTCAATATTGGTATACAGAAACTTCTGTAGAAAGCTAGAGAATTGAATGGAGAATGAGATCTTCTCTATAGAATCTTTAAACCATTTTATAGACAGTAAAAGAAAATTATATCCCTGTTGTGTTAGAAATCTGTAGGTTGTTTAAAAAAGTTATTTGAAGGTTAGCAACATTTCCTACCAAATCCCAATGGGCTTTCTCCTAATAGTTCCTTTTTGATTTTGTGTTTTTTCCATGTAATTCTTACATTTTGCTCAACTCCAAGAATGAAAATACAAGGGTCAGTTTCACTTTCTGGATCTCATGCACTAGTGCAGTACTGTAATGTTTGCATTTTCAACACTGCATGGAAACTTTTAAATGCAAATTAAAATGTTTGGACTAAAACAATTTGATGAAAACCCTTCTATTACTATCTAGTTGTGTAACCCCTCCTCACTACAACTTGGGCCAGATCCTGAACTGTGATGGAGCGATGCTGATTTAAACTAGCTGCTGGTGGAGTACCTTTGTGCCTAAATTACCAGTTTGTTTGTTTCCTTCTAAATTCCATTAAATGTGTCAGATCAGAATTGTACCAGCACCAAGCTGGAACTATACTCCTCAAAGGAGAACCCCTTAGTCATCTGATACTCTTGACTGTTAGTTTTTTGCAGAAGGTCCCTCACATTAAGGTATATACCAGATATGTAAAAATATCAGCACCCATTTCCAGCCAGCTTTGTTTGGATTCAGGCTACAGAACATAAATAAATCCACATATGATTGTGGTCTGCTTACACTCCTGAGTTAGCCTTCATTGAAACAGTTTTCAGATGGGAAGCTAACTACAATTGGAGCAAAAATCAGCACAGGACCACTCCATCTGAGAAGTGGCCAAACCTGGGATTTCAGACCTTTCTTGAAATAAGGCTGAACCCAGATCCTTCATTAACCATTCACTTTGATGCAGCCTCTCCCTTATCCATCTGCTGTGTGATGGCCAGAGATTTTCTCAGCAGCACTACTAGTGTCTGCTCTTCCTGACATATTATGCAACCGACAAGAGAGTAAGAATCTGTCTGGAGATAAATGCCTATTGCCGGGAAAGATAACTGAAATAAAGGGCAGAGTAACCGCACATGCCCAGTTCACTGTAGGGTCTAAACACAACCAGGAACCCACACAAACAAGGGGCAACGGCCTGGTTTGCCCTATCAATTATGCTGAACTCCCTTTCTTGCTTTCCGGGGGACTTATTGCTCATACTTGCTTTCTCCTCTACCCCCACAGGAACATCTTGAGCAATTCTCAACCTCCATTTTAGCCTGTCATCCAGAGGAGAGAGGGGGAAAATGACATTTAAACATTCAAGAGGTTCATTTGTTGAATTTGACTGTTTGCAATCTACAGCATGGAATGACACAGGGTTAAATTACCTTCCTAGTCCTGTGGAACTCAGAGGCTCCTTGGGTTAACTTCATTCACTCTAATGCTTCCTTTCTTCCGGACAGACAGCTGGACTTGGCCTGGAGTCCCCAAGGATGTTAGGTCCCAGAATTTCCTTAAATGCTCATGAGCTGGGCAAGGATGCTGTTGCCAAGGCTCACTGCTTGTTACCTACTGAAGTCGTTTTTAAAGCTTTGGTTAGTTATATAGAGGTCCCTCAGTACCTCCACCCCCACATACCAGCGCTGCAGCCAATGGTTGATTGAAGGCCGGGGTGCGGCTGGTGGAGGAGGGGGAAGTGGGACAAATACAGGATGGCTGTTATAAGGGAGATGAAAATAATACACACAGAGTGCTTCAGGCAGGAAAGAGCAGGGGGAGGGGATTCAGGGAGGCAGAAACGGAGTGAAAGCTGTTTTGGAAGCCTCAATATTGCAAGATGCAGACACTGCGCTGGAGCATGTTTGTAATGGGACCCAAATTCCTGGGCTGATTAGCTGGCTTTCAGCGGGCAGGCAGCTGCCAGAGCTGAGCCTGTTTGGGGAAAGGGTGCTGAGGAGACCCACACCCTGCTGCCAAGGCTAGACACAAATCAGCTGCTCCACTAAGGAGCTCAGAGCCTGCTGCGACATAGCCAGTAGCCCCCGAATCCAGCAAGGGGAGAGTACAGCAGTGTCCAGATGCTCCAGCCAGCCTGATGGAGGAGTAACAAAGGAGCAGATGGCAGCTCGTTGACTGCCTTGGCTGCTCCCACTCAACTGCTTGTGAGTGGGACGAGTCCATTTGGAGGGGCTAACGTCCCTTCCAGCCGGGGTGAGACACGTAGCTGTCTCCAACTCATCCAACCCAATTTTCAAAATTGTCTATAAGAGTCAGGCACACAATACTCTCTAAAGTAAGTGTCAGGCGTATGACCTCTGGAGCGTAGCGTAGGAGCCTCTACTGCTTGTGCCAAAAGCAAGCTGGCTCTCAGTTTAGGCTGTAGAGCTCCCTTGCTCTTATCTCTTGCTGTAAGACTAGTAGTCTAAGGGCCACTCCATGGGACAGTAAACCACACATTAGGTGTGTGGGTTCCAAAAGCTCAGTTTAACCTCAAAATGGACAAACACCTTTACATTGGAGGAAATTAAAGATCAGAGTCAATTAAAATCTCTTCAAGGAATCAAAATACCAAATCTGCTCAAAGTGAAGAAAATAAAGAACAGATCTAGGAATTAATAAAGCAATGCTAATTACAGGATCATCACAAAGATCAAACGATGGGTGGGTTGGGCCAACATTTCTCAGCAATGGGAACTTCAAAAAATATATTCAAGTAGTTACAATGCTACATTAAAGTTTGCTTCTAAAATGACACCAATAATATTAAAAATTCTCATTACGTTTTTCACTCTTCATATTAGTGATGCTCTGACATACTTCTAAAATATCAATGCTACTTATATGTGAACATCAAAAAGTTCTGAGGCTCAGAATATGAGAGTATTAAAATGCATGTAAACATTCTGTATCGGAGCCCTGTTTCTGATGGAGTACTGTTCCTGTATGGAGTGGAAATCCCAGTCCTACACTCATGAGAAGGACTTTGCTGAGAGATTTCTAGTACATTTCTTTAAGATAGAATCATCACGGACATGTCTTTTCTTGGGAGATTTTGATGTTTCCAGTTTTGGTCAGGGTCTAGGCTGGGGTGAATATGAAAAGTAACTAATTTTGACCTCAGAAATGGTCTCAGTTTTGGACAAAAGTTCAATCCAGTGTTATTTTACCTATTATTCATTCACTTCTACTACCTGTAAATGCTGTATCTATAACAACATCATCTACCTCTGATACAACCCAATCCTTTGCTGTCCCACCTCGTCCCAGCATCAGGAGTGGTGCAGGGCAGGTTGGTGGTCTGTCAGCGGTATCAAGGAGCAGAGACAGAGCATGAGGTACTCTGGTGAAACTGGCTGGGAGTGGGCCTCTGGAGAAGCATTCTTGGCTTTCACAGTGAGAGCAGCCAATGAGGCTGTTCTACATTGTGGCATAAGCTCCCCCCACATCTAGGGTACTATACTTTAGTCTGGGGGCACCTAATGGTCTAATTGACAAGGTTTAAAACACTCAACAGGGCTGGACCACAAAAGCTATATGAAGTTTTAAAAGTCTGCTGGCTGAAATCTGAGATCCTGCCACAATTTACACTAGCACAGTATGGTTCTTTGTCTCTCTCTAGAGACTGGCTCAAGCTGTAGTAACCTATGCTTTACAATCTAGAAGTCCAAATACAATCCCTGCAGATGATCTACCTGTGGTCTTAACTACCGTTGTGTAGAACCTGGAACTCCTGTCTTGCAGAACATTTTCACTTGGAACCAGTACAAGATGCCAGATTTGCAACCCAAGTAGGGCCAGTGAGAGAACTGAGAGAAGCCAGCAGCCAATTAGTGTGCCTGCTTGTTGTTCTGATGGACCCAACACATTTCCGAGGAACACTGTTATTTAGTCCCACAGAGAACTATTCCACTGGGAAATAATTGAGCAGTTTTCATCTTTACATCACCATGCCAGCTGAGCTGAAAGAATACTCCCCCAGATGGAGTCATCTGAAAACCAACAAATTTTGTCCCACACTGAATTTCACAAGGAGCATTGCACCAGTATTGGCAATTTTAATAGAAAAATCAAACATCCCAAAACTGAAAAAATGTGGGGTTGGCCAAAACCCAGAATATTTCTCTGGAAAAACAGAAATATTTTGATTCTACAATGCCGTTGCAGTGCCTCATGGAAGCTGTAGTGCAGCTCCTCCATGCTCCATTTTCCTTTATGGGCTGAGCTCCCCAGCTGTATGTCATCACACAGGGCTGCACTCTGGCCATGAAATCTCCATGAGATACCTCCTTCCCTCACCAGGAATGGGGGGGAGCAGGCGGCATTCTCAAATTACAATATATTGTTCATTTGATTTTTCACGCATCCCCACACGTGTATGGGATGGGGCATGACCTGTTTTCAACCAGTTCTACTTGGAATCTAGGATTCTGATTTCCAGTGACTTGCCCATTTGATAATACTTGTTCATTGGGCCATTAGCAAAGGTTGCAAATGTGGGGAAATCACTGCTCAGGCATGCTACAAATGCCAACCAGGGGTTCTCTTCATGTGCTGTTGGCATGAATCTCCTAGAAAGGGGCAAGAACTCTTCAAGTGTTCACTTGTGAACCAATCTGTGACTGATTTTGGTACAGATAACTAAAAACAATCCAGCTGAAACCAGATCTTGAATGAAAGGGCCAGAGGGAGAGAATTTGGAGCCAGGAACGAACATCACAGAACCATGGAGAAAAGAAGGCACACAGAAATTATCTGAAACCAATGTCATTTGCTCTCCGCTTTGATAGAAAATGTTAGTTAGTGATGAAGCATGATAAGACAGGAAGCAACCAATTCTGAGTGGGAAAGAGATGTGGAACTGTTAGATCAGTCTCTAGAAGCTGGTTGAGGACAGAGGGAATGTGTTTAGAAACTCAGATAGTGAGGGAGCTGAGAAGTGAATGTGGGCTTTATCGTTATCAGGCTAGTCTGCAAGGTTCTGACACCCAAGATTAAAAAAAAAATCTGTTTTGCCAAGCAAGCCAGTTACCTGCAGCCGTGGAGTTTTCTAGAGAGGCTCAGACCCCAACAGCCTGTATCCTGGGGAGCCAAGCAGCCTGAGAATCCAGGCACCATGGACCTGCACATCCAGTCTCTATGTAAAGTTTTGACAAATCAACACTTGCCCCCAGAATGTTCAGAGTCCATTGAGCTAGCATTTTCTGACCAAAAACTGCCCCATATTTCAGTTCTATTGGTTAGTAGGAAGATTGGGGACATCCTAGAGGTTGTAGAAAGCTGTGTTGGTGGTGGCACTGAGCCAATAGTGACAGAGGGTGCCAACTGACTGGAGGCTTTTTTTTTCAGGGGAAACAAAACCCAAGGTACTAGTGATCTTTAAAGGCCCATGGAAGCTAACTGTCAGAGTAGCAATGTTCATGATGGTACCCTGGCCAGTTGCCAATGTCAATCAATACCTCCTTCCTCACATTAGTCCGGATACAATTTTAATTGCACAAATGTTCTACTTCACGGCCTGCCCTCGGAGGTTGTGTGAGGGTGCTATGCACTCCTGAACACTGCCATGGCTCTCAGTGGAGTGATGAAAGTACAAGGTCAGATTCTTTCCTACATAAGAGACTTATTGTGTGATTCTGCACTGTAGATATACCCAGTCGTGTGAAGATTATCCCAGCATAGCGGTATCCTGTGTATCACAGAACCAGAACCACAACTCTTAAGCCACCCCTCACTCTGTTGCTGGAATGGGAGCATGGCAAGGGAAAAAGGACTATGTCCAGGATTCCCTTAAGTCTGTCTGATACTTGGCTGTCATTATGGTTCCTTGGGACCATATGCAGCTGGCAAAAGTTAAGAGTAGTCACCAGACTGCAGCAAAAAAGCAAATAGCAGCTGCAGTGTCAGGGGACCCGAAAGGCAGTTCAACATTCCCCCTTACACTTGAGTTGCACTGTCTACAGATGAAGATTTTGTACACAGTCATAAAGCACATTGGTGGGAAAGTTATGATATGCATTTAACAATCCACATACCATGAGTCAGAGAGAAGAAAAGTCCTAGAAATTACTGGTGGTTTGTCAAGGCATTTTGAAAAAGCGAAAAGCCTCTCATATTTCTAACTTCCATTTGTCTGGCAATCTAGCAGCTATATTCAACACCCTAATGACATCAAAAGCAAAGTATCAGTCACTTATTGCCCACTCATTTAGCATGGACACTCTAATTGACAAGTTTTTTTTCCTTGTCTTTCCCTCCCCATCTCCCCTTTTTTTCTGCTATTTATTTGTACCTCTGGACCCCTTGGCTCCATTCATCTGAAGAAGTGGGTTGTGCCCACGAAAGCTCATGATACCATCTACATTTTTTGTTAGCCTCTAAGGTGCTGCAGGACCATTAATTGTGTTTTAAACCTTCACTAAGGAATGATTGTACATAATAAAGGCTTGTGCTGTGCAGCAGAAAAGCATGACATTAACTTTCCATGGCATGGCTCACAGCTCAGACAGCGCCAATGTTAATTTCATAGCTTCTGGATTTTTACCTCTTAATTTCATTAATTTCTTCAGCAACAATTCTGTGTCCTAT